GGTAAAGTGCTTCTGGGTCCAATCCCCAGTACTCGCCCCAGCCCCCAAAGGATCTGGAGTCTATTACCCCACCTAGCTGGCTTGGGACTTTCTTTGGCCAGCAGAATATAGCAGAAGTGACAGTGTGTTGACAGTTGTCCCTGATGGCGCAACTGAACTCTCCCTCACCAGGTCTCTCCTTGTCCACCATGCTAGCCTGGACTTGTTTTCATGACAGAGTCAGGAGTCCCCCCAAAAGGACAAAGGCCCACATGAGATTGGTGGGCTCTCAGAAAAAAGAGATCTTTCTAGACAGAGACCCAGATCTATGAGCATGACTGGTCTCTTTAGTTAGACGAACAAAACCTCCAGTATATGCTTGTATCAGCTCAACTCGGACAAAAACAGAATCAGTTTAAATGTCACCAGATTCAAAGACCTATACGATGTGCCCACAATTGATTTACGGTGAGACTGCTTAACCAGGAGGAAATATTCTGAGCCCCAAATATCAAATGATTGACATAGATTTGATTTTCACAAAAGTTTACGTGGGAACCTGTGCTTTTCTTCCCAGGAAAATCTTATATATAATGAGAGAGTCCACCCCTGGGTGTGTTACTGATCTTCTCCTCTGAGAGCCAGTAGCACCCTGCTTTGGGGGATGCATGCTTTTGCTTTGCTGTCCTTTAATAAGTCTTTGCTTGTGGCTTTCTTGTTTGCTCTTTTCTTTTTCTTTTTTTGTACTAGGGATTGGACCCAGGGGCACTTAACCAAGAGCCACATCCTCAGACCTTTTTATTTTTTATTTTGAGACCGTCTCACTAAGTTGCTGAGGCTAGCCTTGAACTTGCCATCCTCCTGCCTCAGTCTCCCGAGTCTCTGGGATTACAGGGTGCATCACTGTGCCCAGCTTTGTGCTTTGTTTCAACACAAAATTCTTTTCAGCAGCATAAATCAAGAACATGCCCAGTTGGAGTTGAGATCCTGTGCCACTTGGAGGGACTGCCTTGGACTCCTCTTGTGACAGAAAGCAAGCAGAATATGCCACCTGAAAATGTGGCTCTTTTACATAAAAATTAATTCTAAGCTGAAGGCACCTAAAAAGCAACAAGTACAGCAAAAAAGCTTCCTTTGCCCTCCGCCTTTGCTGCTGGTAGGCAGGATATAAATTCTTTAGAGGAGACAACTATAAACTCTTATCAACCCAGAGTTGGCAAGAGCACAATCTACAAACAAATCTACCTTATCACTTATGTCTTGTAAATTTATCTTCCTTGCTTCACTGCCCTGGGAAGCCTAAAACTGCTTTCCTTTGTCCTGTCATTTCTCTACAAATGTATTGTTCATTTTGAAGCTGCCATATGAGCTGAAGTTTGAAGCCACTGCTTTGAGTTATTTTTCTTTCTCTGATATGATTTATGAATTCATTCATTAGTGAGCTGTTTTTTTTCTTAATCTTTCTTTTTTATTTGTTTTTTTTTAGTTGTAGATGGCCACAATACCTTTATTTTATTTATTTATTTTTTTATGGTGCTGAGAATTGAACCCAGTGCCTCACACATACAAGACAAGCACTCTACCACTGAGCCCCAGCCCCAGCCCCTCTTGTTAATTTTTCTTTTTGTTAAAGAGCCCCAGCTAAAAACCTATGATGGATAAAGGTACCGTTTTGCCTCCCCTACAAGGCCAAAGCTGGAACTGGTGCACCATTTCCTAGGCTACATTCTGCTGGCCAAAGTGAATCACAGGACCAGCCCAGATTTAGAGGCCAGGAAAGGAGGCTGAGGCAGGAAGATAGCAAGTTCAAGGCCAGCCTTATCAAGAACTAGCAAGGTCCTAAGCAATCTTAGGGAGATCCTGTCTCAAAACAAAAAGGGCTGGGGAGGTGACTCAGTGGTTCAATCCCTGATACCTGATTTTTAAAAAAGAAGAAGAAGAAAGAAAAAACAGTCATTTCTAAGTCAACCCAGAGGGCTTTGTTCATCACAGACTTCAGTGACAGGGCTTTCCTCTGTGTGTGTGTGTGTGTGTGTGTGTGAGTGAGTGTGTGTGTGTGTGTGTTTGTGTGTGTGTTATGCTCAGAGGCCAGGATGACATTGGCATTCTACAAGTTTCATTTGCTCCTGCTTGGGTCACAGATTCTTTTGATGGCTGCAATTAGTGGCCTCTGTGTGTTCCACATGCTTTGCTGTATGACTCATCCATTCTTCTCTGTCCCCCAAGGTATTCTTGTAGAAGCAAGGCATATTTAGCCAGTAACACAAGAATCTGTCTCCCCGGGATCCCAAACCAAACTTAGGCTTTACTGTTCCCCCTTGGGCACTCCCCTCTCCTTTGTCCTGAGTCTGATCTGGGTTCACCCTGAGGCTTGTCTTGAGTGCCTGCTGTGCAGGGAGCCCTGGGCCTTTATCAAGCTTGTCCAGAGTTCAGGAGAAGACACAGAGCTACTGGAGCCTCTCACAGAGATCAGGGCTCACCTGAGCCTTACCTGCAGTGCTCCACGTACAGGGAGCCAACTGGGAGCAACTGGGAGCCAGTCATCTCTGTCCTGGCACCTTGGGAGTCAGAAAAGAATGGATGATCATATGGCAAAGTGCGTGGAACAGCATAGGCCATTAATTGTGACCATCAACAGAATCTGTGACCTGAGCAGGAGCAAATGAAATTTGTCAGATGCCATGTCAGACTGGGTTCTAAGCTCCCCACCAAAACTTCTTGAACTCCACTAGAGATCAGTGTCTCCTCGTTCTTAGCCTCTGGCATCGTGAACCTCTTTGCTCATCCTTCTTTGCCTTAACATTCCACAGTAACTGGGACTGTCTGTTCCTAGGCTGATTCCTCCTCTTGACACTGGACTCCTTATAGGAAGGGCCAGCAGGTTGCTTTTGTCTTCAGTGGTCAGCAGAGAGGGAAGGTAGTTTGGGTATGGACATACCGGCAGGAAAGGGACCAGAAGCAGGGTCCCCGATGCCCCAGCCAACTGTCTACCATACCTCTTGACATTCTGGTCCTTGAGATTTTTGTAACCAAATGCCAGGATGACTCCCTGACCTCCAGTGATCTGTGGCAGGGGCAAATGATCTGGCTTTCTGAGCCTGTGGTGAGGTTCTTTGGAATGAAGGTCCACCTTCATTCTTAATGTGGTTTCCTTGTTAGGACTATTAGCACTGAAGTCAAAGAGATGAGTTTGAATGCCAGCCCATATGCTAAGCTATGTGATCCTAGCCTTTCTGCTAGCGTGTGAATTGTGTCTCCCCCAAATATTTGGGTTGAAATCCTCACTCCTAAAGTGGGCATTAGGAGGAGGGGACTTCAGGAGGTAATTAGAGGGACCAAGATTGTGACGCCCTCATGATTTGGTTTAGAATCACTTTGGGTGACTGGTGGCAAGCATCAGTTTACAGGCCAGCTGTATGGATTGAACGAGGGGTGCTCTGCTCCTGAGTGTCTTCCCCGGGCCTTTTTATTTTGAGGCAGGCCCCAGAGAGCTGCCCTGACCCTCCCACTTGGTGAGGACAGAGCTAGAAGGCACCATCTGTGAGGAAGTGGGGCCTCAGCAGACCCTGCCAGCACCTTAATCTTGGACTTCCATCCTCCAAACTGTGACAAATTGATTTCTGTTGTTTATAAGTTACTCAACTTAAGGTAGTTTATCATAGCTGCCCAAATGGACTAAGACATTTTGTAAGTTATAGAATCTCCATTAATCTGAGGTCTTAAATGCCTTCCCACACTATTGTCAACAGCAGCAGATCCAGGCTTTATGTGACCTGACGCTTCTAAAACTGGAAGGGTCCTGAGGTATCAGCTTTGACGTCAATATCTCTGCTCTCTCCAAATAAAGAAGCAAAAAATGTCAGCTCCTCTTTGCCCCACCAATCTAAGGTTACATCTAAGATGACAATCAGGAGTCAGGGACCCCCAGAATTCCTTCTGGTGACTGACAGCAATAATGATTGGTGGCAACCATCAGAGATTCCAGACCAACTGTGTGCTTCAGTGTGATGTGTGTGGTACGGGGTTTGAACCCAGGAGAACTCTGAAATTGACCCACATTTCCAGCCCCTTTTATTTTTTTATATTGAGATAAGGTCTTGATAAGTTGCTGAGGCTCACCTGGAACTTGCAATCCAACTGCCTTAGGCTTCCCAGTATCTGGGATAACCGGTGTATGCCAGCACGTACTGGAGCCCCAGTGTGATTTAGTGTTTTGTGTGAACTCAAATCTATTTCCTTGTTCCTAGAGGTTCTGTGAACTTTTTTTTTCCCTTTAAGCATTTACAGAGCACTTATTGCCTCCTATTTCCTGAGCTCAGTACTAAGTCTTCTGCATACCTAGTATCTTTTTAATAAGCCTTTAGCTGCCAGAGTTACGTGTTGTGGCTTAAAGGCAGGAATCTTAATCTTTCCTCCTCTAGGGCTTGACCTGGAAAGACCAAGGGAAGATAGAATCACCCCCAGAGCCTTTCTGCCTTCCAAGCTCCTTCACCCCATGAGCTGCCCCACCTGCCTTCCAGGCACGGATCCTGCTGCCAACCTCTTACTCTGCCATCCACTTTACCTGGCTTGCTGCCCAGCCATCTCCCCACTCCTTTCCTCCTCACTGCCTCCCTCCAGGCTTATCCAAATTTCTCTCTGGCCCAGAATTCAACACCTCTTATATACCACAGTTGTGTCTCTGGCGGTGACACTGCTTGCTTTTTCCTAAAGGAAATAAAACGGGGAGAAGATCCACCCTTTTGATAGGAGACAGGTCTGTGCAAGCCTGATTCGTAGCTTTTTTCCCTACTGCAGTTCCAGAGCAAAATCCCCCTCCCTGCTTCCTCCTCTTTTCTCACCAGATGACCTTGGACAAGTCTCTTTACTTCATGGGCTTCACTTCATGGGCTGCAAACTCTAATCTGTATCACACAGGTTAATTATCGTTTATTTTCATAAGTTGGATCTCTCCTCTCAGGGCAAATCAAAGGTTCATCGTACCTGAGCAGGGTGATGGGGAGGGGTGTGGGCTCGACAGAGGCATCTTCTCTGATTTCTCACTAAAGATACAGGTGACAATAACCTGTGGCTTTGATGAAGTATGGTGCAGAAGGCGCGGGGAACGGAGTCCAGGATGCATATGGGGCGGGGGCAGCACGAGATGATGTACAAACTTCAGGAGCCAGCTCACTGCTGTGCCCCTCCATTCCCAGCCAGAGCTAGATGTCCTTCTCAACTACTGCGTAGAGCGTCCCAAGGGAGGAAAGAATCAAGGGGAAAGAAAATGCTTGAGTAGTGCCCAAGGGAAGTGGGATGAGAGTTTTGCTTTCCGTGAAGAGCATACGTGTAGGGAAATCAGCTCCTGAAGAGGGCTCAAAGGAAAGAAAGCCGAGAATCGGGGAGAAAGACTTGGTTCTTTCCTAGTACAGGGGAGAATCCTGGACTCTCCCTGCTTCTCTGGTGGCTGACTCTACTTTCCCATGCGATGAGCCTGTCCACGTCTCTTTCTTACACGCTCCTCCGGCACCCAAACTACTGTCGCAACTAGGGTCCTCCGCTAAGGCTTGGAGTGCTCATCGGTGGGCGACGCCCACCTGAAGCTGCTCGGGCCGCGAGGCACCACGAGGTCCAGGTTAAGGTCACGCTGCTCATCCTCAGAGTACACGGGCCGGTAGCCCAGCAGCTGCAGGGCGCCGGCGCACAGCTCCTGCACGCGCCGAATCTTGCTGAAGGGCAGCGAGTGGCGCCAGGCCTGGGAGACGTTGTGTGCATCCCTAGACGTGGTCTTGAAGGCCTCTCGGCGCGCACCGGGCCCCGACCCGTGCGTGATATTGTGAATCCAGGACTCGAGCTGCGGCGTAAGGCTCAGGCCGGTGAAGGCGTAGAGTGCGCGGATCTCGCGCAGCGGCTCCCTCGCCAGGTCCTCGAAGCGCACCAGGAGGTAGCGACCCTGCAGGAAGGGCGGCGGCTTGTGCAGGGCGGCCTCAGCTATGCGCACGTGGCTGCGACACACCTCGCTCACCACGCGCAAGCGGGGGTCGGCCTCCACCCACGTGCCGTTGGTGCCCAGCACTATGCCATTATCGCGCGCCAACGCCTTGGCGGTCTGCTCTCGGGAGCGCAGCACCGCCCTTGGATCGCGCACCAGGTGCACGATGCGTAGGTTGAGCGCTGGGTCGTTGAGTAGCGGGTAAAGTACCTGCAGGTTAAAAAAGCGCACCTCCTTGAGCACCACGTGGCTATAGGAGCGGCAGGCCTCCTGGGCCAGGCCGAAGGGCCGCCGCGCACACAGTGGCTTGCACACAGCCTCACTGCTGATGGCGTCGCGACTGAAGGCGTTGCAGGCGGGGGGCGAGCACAGCGCGCGGCTCACCGCCCACTGGAAGAGGTCTGACAGGTTGCGGCGCCACGGCAGGTAGGCGTCGAACACGTCCATGTCGCACAGGAAGACAGAGCGCACCAGATCGCGAACAGCCATGTGCAGCGCTGGAGCACTGCCCTGCGACAGGGCAGCCCAGACGTGCCACGCGGGCTCCATCAGGTAGAACACGTCTGGATGCTGGCTGAAGAGCTGGCCCACGAAGGATGAGCCTGAGCGCCAAGAGGACAACACCAACACGTGCACACGCTGCTTGCCGCCGGCTGGGTACCACGGTCCTTGTCGGGAGACCAGGAAGAGCAGAAGGCAGGTCTGCGCCAGCAGGAGTGCAGTCACTACAGTGCCGGAGACGCGCGGTAGCCGCATGCCTGGGCCTGCGAGAGCCGAGCGCCAAGGTTAGGGAACGTGGCACAGACGCCCAATCCCACGTCCAAACTACTGTCCAGTTGTGGGTTGGCAGTAGCCTCAAGACTGAACCACCCGACCCGACTGGACAGAACGAGGGCTCCCAAGGCTGGTCTCAGTCCAGCGCTCTCCTGGGAATGTGAAATTAAAATACAAGCCATTCAAGCCATGATCGAGTCTAGGCTGACAGCTAAAATCTAGTGGCATAATACTGTGGGAAATCTATTTCTCCTTCTCTATCCACCTGTCTACATAGCTTGGACTGTCTATCTAGAAAAGGACATATATATATATATATATATATATATATATATATATATATATATCAATGTGTTTTAAAACAAAATTCCTGAATTTTGCTTAAGAACTCCTCTTAGGGAAGCATTTTTTAGGTGGCTTAACTAAAGAGCTTGATGCCATTTGGCACACCAGTGCACTAAAAGTCTCCTTCAGGTTGAATCCTGGCTCTTCCACTTTCTACCCTGTGATCTTCCACAAAACATTTAACCTCTCTGTGACTCAGCCTACCCATCTGTAAAAGGGGGATAATATTGGTACCTGGCTCTTAGGGCTTGGGGATATGATTGGAACCAGCATGGGGAGAGGGATCATGTAGTAACCCCTATAACTGAGGACTCAAACTTTCTAGGGTGAGTCCTAGAAAGGGTGCTTCTGTGCTGTATGATTTTTATTAACAAGCAAGTATACTGTTGTTAGTAAAAAATGTACAAAGGCCTGTGGATGTGGCTCAGTGGGAGAGTGCTTGCCTGGTAGGTGGGAGGCCATGGATTTGATTCCCAGCATTGCAAAAAAAAAAAAAAAAAAAAAAGGGTGGGGGGGTGCGGGGTAAAAATAAGTAGAATGAACAAAGAACACCAACTGTTCCCATCACCCCTTCCAGGTGCTAAATGTAGCCCAGGCTCCAAAATGAGAGGATCCTATGGGAGCCATGTGTGTTTTCAGAAGAGACCAGTTAAGGAGGAGGCAGGAAGAGCTAGAGAAGCAGAGGTGGAGCAGAAGACGCCCCTGAAGGGCTGCTTGCCCCTTCCCTACTGGGGGTACTCACTGCTGTCCAGGGCTGCTGGGAGAGCTGCCCACGCTGATCACAAATCCATTGGAGGTGCCTCAGGCCTGAGAAAGCAGGAGGGAGACTGGATCAGAGCCCCATAGGGGAGACAGTTCCCACACAGGAAGGTCTCTAGGGGTGGGAACAAAGTTGCCCTGTCCCTAGCCTGAGCTGAGTATTTTTCCAAATGGATTTAAACAGATGGGCTCTCCTGATAGATGGAGGAAAGAGGGTCAAATTTTAATCCAAGCACTGCCACTCAGGAGCTGTAAAACTTGGAGCAAGTGTCTTGACTTCTCTGAGGCCCAATCTCTTTCTCTATAAAATGGGGGGATGGCAGCATTTAACTTCTTATATTGTAAAGGTCAGTGCCACAAACACCTTTGAGGAGAGGGCTTGTTAAGTATCATACACAATCTCATGTTACTATTACTATTCTAGTATTGAGTTCAGTTTCGTCCAGAGAAGAAGAAGCCCTTCTCCATGGGAAGCCTCCAAGTTTATGAGACGCCCTAAGATACCTATTCCTTGAATCCCAGCATCTCTCAGGCCCACTTCTAACAACCACTTACCCCTGGTCCCGTTAGTAGATCTTTAGACTATCAAACTTGTCCTACAGGTGAAACACTAGGCCCAGCTCACATACCCCAAGGTCCCAGAGTTTCCTGCTCTGTGCACTTATTGTTCCTGCAGTTATCTCCAGGCTTGGAGATAACATTGGAAGGGAAGGCCTGGAAATCTCCTCATCGCTTTTGCAGTGTCTGTTTCTCACCAAACCTGCTTCTGTATCCATATCACCACCAAGAGAAACTGGACTTTAAACTATGTGTCGGTCCCATCTCTGCTCCTTCTCTTCATCAGGAGGCCCCAGGAATGGGTAGAGGACACTCAACAGTTCTGTTATCTGATGAACCCAGAGCTGCTTCCTGTACCCCACACCCAAGCTGGAAAACCTGGCAGACAGGGGGAGTGGCCACCCATCTGCTCTGCACCCATTACCAACACTCCTGGGCTGCTGGCTGATGGATGGCAGGCTCCCCTGAGATTAGGTGCCAGAAAGGAAGGGAACTCTTATTTGCCAACAAGTACTTTACAGATCCTTGACTTAACTGACAGATCCTAAGGCAGGCATTATGATTTCAGTTTTTAGTTGAAGGACTCAAGGGTTGGAAAGAAGCTAGGAATCTGATTGTAAGCTCTTGCACTTCTGATCACTGGCTGAGGGCATCTCCCACTCCTAATCACTCTCCCCAGATTTCGGAATCTTTATGCTTTGGCCCAAACAAAAGACAGTTGCCCTGGCTGCCCCAGCCTTACTCCAAGCACAGGAGGACCTCAGCCTCAGGCCAAGGTGTTAGTTACCTGTGTTCTGGGAAAGCCAGAAATCTTCTTAAGTGACTCATCATGCACTACAGGAACTGCTTGCTATCTGATCCTATTACAGGAACGCATAAGAATTATGAGGAAGATTGAAATGTTCTGTGCTACCTGGGGTATCCAGAGAAGCCTAGGTCCTGGCTGAGAATTTTCTGATAAGGAGCCTTGTGTTTTGCTAGCCAGCCAATCGCTCAAGGGTTCCAAGTCAGGAAGAGCATGTCAGTAAGGCATTGTGCTATGTACTTTCACCTCAGTGACTGAATTTTTTTCCTCCTTGCATTCCTAGGAGGTCAGTGGGGCTCAGAGACAAGAATGCCCAGTCAGCAAGGGTCAGGGCTGAGGGTGTAGCTCAGTGGTAGACTGCTTGCCTGCTTGAGCATGCAACACACACACACACACACACACACACACAGGACAAGGACCAGACTCCCAGTGTTAGGCTTGGGGAGGGGAGAAAGAAGAAGACAGTCTAATCAGGAGCAATCTACAGAGTGGTCTTTTTCAAGTTGCTGAAACTTTTTCTGTTATAAAATCTTTTTAAAATTCTACTTTTGTCAGAATAATACATATGGCTTGAATAAATATAAAATTCTCCTGGAAATTTATACAAGAAAATGATGTTAGTTTATCTTGGGAGGGGAATAAAATAGCATAGACATTTTACGATTAATTCTTTTTTTTTTTTTGCACCTTTTGAATTTTGACCCATAGGAACATATTATCTATTTAAAAACAACTAAACACATTTTTAAATAACTAATTTAAAAAAATCAAATAATTGTCACAAGTCATTTTCTTGCTCCAAAATTCTATTTCCAAGAGGCAATTCCTTTCAAAACTTTTAGCTGTTTCTTCTGCTAATTACCTTCCTATTTCTAAAAAACAAGAAAGCTTAAATTATTACTGTTACAATTTTTCTAATGACTTTCTAGTGATATGTCTCCAACACAAACACACACACACACACACACGTATATACACAATTTTCTTCTCTTAGAAATCTCTTATTAATATAAGTCTAACTAAATCAATATTCAAAATTTATATTATGTGCTTTTATAAAACAATTCACAGATGAAGCACATATATACTAAGAGTACATTACCTGTCTTGTAATGAATTTTTTTTTCCATGGAGTTAAATTGCCTTAGATAACATTAAAATTGTAATAAAAGACTCTGTTTTTTGTAGAGCTAAATTGCCTGGTATATTAAAATGATTTATAGAATGGATGAAAGATAAATTGAGGAAATAACAAAAATAATAAATCATAGATAAAAGAGGGAAAAGAAAAGAAAGCAAGATGCTCAGTGGAGGAAGTCCAATACAGCGAGAGTTTCTACCCTGGTGGAGCTGATAACCTAGCTGGGGACATTAAAGACATACTATGTGATGGCAAAAGACCAGATGGTGGCCCAGACATCTAGCCATGGGAGACTCACGGTAGTCTTGGTATGCATATTTCTCTCTTGGATTCTAGAAAAATCTCCTAGCTGACCTCTCTCCAGTCCATCTTGCATGGTTCTAAACCACATTCCTGATTGTTTATTTCTACCCAATTTTCCTATTTCACTTCCCAAAATTCCCATCCAGTACCCTTTGCCTCAGATGACCAGGAATCATTACTGTTCTTCAAATGACTCACACCAGGAGTCACTGGCTTCCTGTGAGGGTGCCTCCCCGTGTGTTAGAGTCTGTAAACAAGTCAAAATAACACCTGGCATTTTGCCAGGGGAATGTTAGAGTTCCTAAACAAGTCTGGATGGTGCCTGGCAAAATGCCAGAGGGAGTGGTTTGAGAAGTAACAAAAGCGAGCCATTAAGTGTGGAGATTCCTGATTGGTTAACTGATGTATCTAGTTTATGTTAATTAGATAAGCTGTGTGGAATGTATAAATACTGCTCCTGTCCTGCAATAAACGGCTCCCACTCCTGCTGTATCAACGTACACAAGTTGTTCGTCACCCCCCCAGCTATTTTGCCCAGCCAGCCGGACTATGGCACTCGTGTGCCTCTTGCAGTGCATGCACTACTCTGCTGTCCATTATCCTTCTTGCCTGCAAGCAACTTGAGGGTTGGGATTGTGGTTTTTTTGCAAGTGAGCATCTGACCTCAGGTATCCAGTGTGAGGCTCAGCCCGGCATAGATACAGCAGATATGATTGGGTCGACTCAATACCTGCTCCCTCTTCCAAAGCCAGCCTCTAGATTGACCCATCACACACCCACTCAAAGTGCTTGTGGTTTGGATGAAGCTGACCCTGGTTGCTAAGGGTCATGTGTCCCAAGATGTGCTCATCTATTTATACCACACACTGACTCCCTCTAACCCCCACCCATATAAGAACTATTGGTTTAGGAATAGGACACCTGTTAAACTACAATCCAAGGATTTTTCTTTTCTTTTTTTTTTTTTTTTTTTTGTAGATCTGAAGGGAAAAGGGAAACTGGGTATAAAGCTAACACAGAAGAGAACTGAGCAGAGAATGAATGGGAGTTTGCAAGCAAGCTGAGAGCAAAATCTTTACATCTGGAATTGTCTTTGCCAAATTCACCCATGGACTTCTCAGTTGGGGAAAGTATTCCAGTTTTGCTTCAACCAATGTGAGTTGAGTTTCTGTCACAACAAAGAGTTCTGCTTAGATGGTGGATGCCCTGGGTGAGTGAGTCAGGTAGAACTAGAGGGGAACGTGGGCAGACCTTCTGGGCATGCATCATGCTGTGTTCTAGTGAGGGTGCTGATTATATGGGTGTGTTCAATCTGTGAAATTTCATCACACTGTACCTCTATGATCTGGGTTCTTTGCTGCTATGTTACACCTCAATAAAAAGTTAATAATCCTGACTGACTAAGACAGTAAGTATCATGACCGGAAATATGCTAAAGACTAAGTAGATGATATTAGCAAATATTCGCCGAATTGAAATTAGATATCCTATCATCAAATCCAAAGACAATAACGAATTCCCCACTTGGCCCACATTTCTTTCTGTTCAGTTCCTTATAGTATCTTTTTTTTTTCTTTTTTGCAATTTCAGAGGTTGAAACCAGGGCCCTGCATATCCTAGGCAAGCACTGCTAACACTGAGCTGCATTCTTGATCTTTTTTAAAATTTTAATTTTGAAATAGGGTCTTGATAGGTTGTTGAGACTGGCCTCAAACTTGCAATTGCTCCTGTCTCACCTCCACAGTAGCTGGGATTATAGGTGCATAGCATTTGTGCCCAGAGAAGTTACAGTATCTTCTAAACATCCCTCACCATTTCTTGGCCTGAGAGAAACAGGAAGGAGCTACGGTTCTGCCTGGTTTGTGGATGGGAAAACCAATCTACAGGGGAAGGAATGGTTTGCCACAACAGATGTGCGGCTGAAGCCCAGGAAACCTGGCTCTCTGGGCAATACTCACGTTTGGCCAAACTCTGCCCGCCTTGACTCAGCGGATCCTCTTGTCACCAGCCTGTCCCAGCCCTGGCATGGAATCCAAGAGAGTGAAATGTAATACTAGGTACAAATCCCGGGCTCATATTTCTTTTTGTTTGGTGTCAGCTGAAGGCCACCCCTGTTCAGGAGCCCTAAGGGCTAGAGAAAGTAGATTCTGGATGAGGAATCAGTAAACTCTAGGCATCGAGGACCTCCAGCAAAGTAAAAACCACTCTATGGAGCCCAGTGCATTTGTCAGGGAGAAGAAGGAAAAGAGGAGGGGAAGGGAAAGGGAAAAAAGAAATATGAAGGCAGGGAGGGAAGCAAGAGGGAAGATGGGTGTTCACAGTGGGCAAGAAGAAGAGCACAGTAAGAACTGTCAGCTGAGGGATTCCTGTATGCCAAGGCCTTCCCACCCAATTTCTGATTTGATTGTCACAGCAACTCTAACAACTAGATGATCTTCTCTACCTTATAGGTGAGGAAGCAGGTTTAGAAAGACTAAAAGACTTGCCTAAAGGATCTAAACAGTAGCTGAGTCAGAAGTTGAAGCCTAATAGTCGACATTTAGAGGCCTTTGCTGCGTAGCATCAAATGGAAAATGCACAAGTAATAAAACTTACATACAAATATAATCATATTGAAGGATACCAACTGTGTTACAAAACATAATTATCAAAGGACACCCAGAAATGGGAGAAGATAACTCCAAATAATATATTTGGAAAGGGACCTGTAACTGGATTATATAAAGAAATCTTACAATTCAATAATAAAGCGACAAGTAACCTGATTTAAAAGGGGGCAAAGGAAGCCAAGCATGGTGGCACATGCCTGGAATGCCAGCAACTCGGGAGGCTAAGGCAGTATGGCAAGTTTGATGCCAACCTTAGAAATTTAATGAGACCCTGTTTTAAAAATAAAAAGGGCTGGAGATGTAGCTTAGTGGTAGAGCACTCCCCTGGATTCAATCCCAAGTACTAGGAAAAAAGTATGGGGGGGGGGGAGTCGGAGAAGATATTTCTCCAAAGAAGTTATACAAATGGCCAATAAGTACATGAAAAGATGCTCAAGGTTTCTAGTTTTGGGAAAATAAGAATCAAAACCATAATGATAGGGGCTGGGGATGTGGCTCAAGCGGTAGCGCGCTCGCCTGGCATGCGTGCGGCCCGGGTTCGATCCTCAGCACCACATACAAACAAAGATGTTGTGTCCATCGAAAACTAAAATAAATAAATAAATATTAAAAAAAACCCATAATGATATATTGCTTCCCATACACCAGGACAAGATGGCCACAGTAAAGAGAGGAGCTGGGGGGGGGGGGTAGCTCAGGGGCAGAGCATTCGCCTAGCGTGTACCAGACTCTGGGTTCAATCCTCAGTAGATAAAAAGAGGGGGAGAGAGAGGAAGAGAGGGAGAAGGAGAGAGATGTAATAATTTAAAAAATTACTAGTGTTCATGAAAAGAAGAGAAATTGGAACGTTTATATAGCGCTGGTGGGAATGTAAAATGAATAGTACAGCTGCCATGGAAAACAGTCTGGCAGTTCCTCAAAAGGCTAAACATAGAGGTACCAGATGATACTACAATTCCAGTCCTAGCCATCTACCCAAGGAAATTGAAAACATATGTTCACAAAAAAAAAAAAAAGTTGTGCGTGAGTTTGCATAGCAGCATTATTTATAAAAAGTAGAGAGCTACACCTTAATAAAGCTCTTTTGTCAGGTGCAGTGGTGCACACCTGTGATCCCAGCGGCTCAGGAGGCTGAGGCAGGAAGATCACTCAAAGCCAGCTTTAGCAAAAGCAAGGTGCTAAGCAACTCAGTGAGACCCTGTCTCTAAATAAAATATAAAATAGGGCTGGGGTTTAATCCCCCGTACCAAAAACAAACAAACAAACAAACGAAAACTCTTCCCCACTCCCCCCAGCCCCATGCTGAGGATCAGTCCCAGGGGCTCACACATGCTAGGCAAGGGTTCCACCACTGAGCCACACATCCAGCTCCATTAAATCTATTCTCTAAAAAATACATAATACTGGAGGAAGAAGGGTGAAAGGAGGCACACTGGATAGTAGTGTTTATTTTTCTATGGCCAGGGTACAGGTTATTTTTCTTCTTATTAGCACATTGCTGCAGTTTTCTGGTAGTCTATAATAGACATGCATTACTTTGGTAATCGTAAGTTGATTATTTTTAATTGATTAAAGGAGACATAAGTGAAATCCCCCCCACACACACACATGCACACCACTCTCATTGCAAGGAGAGGTACCTGCAAATACATCTTCCAGTTCACCTGAGTACTCAGTTGGTCAGAGAAAGCCGGGGCATAGGATGGAGAATCACCTCCTGTGTGTGCCATGAAACATGTAAAAATCCTCAAGCCTACCCTCAGTCTGAGGACGGTGGACTAGGTCAAGCTGTGACAAAAGACACATCTGTTCCCCAAGCCCTGGCCACATCTGCTGTTCTCTAAAGTTCTGATGAGGCAACTTCGTGACAACTGACAGAGGCAGGGAGGTTGGAGTCACACAGACCAGATGCTGCTGGAGGAGATAGATCTGCCTTCAAGAATCTCTTAGGAAATGAATTCAAATTACTCCGGGGAAGGAGCCTCAAGATTCTGTGGCTTAAAGCCACCCTAGGGCATTATGAAGCAGATGAACAGATATAAACCCCTTTCCCTGGCTCTGAGCTTTTGGGATTCTGCTTAGGAACAACAGTTTTGTTTCTTCTTCTGTTCTCTCAACCACAGTAGCCACAGGGGACTTCTGTGACCCTGAAAAGCATGGGGATTTCTGCCCAATTGCTGGCAACCAATCAGCTTGTTCATCAGACACCAGCTGGAAGTCCTCAAATTCAATTCAATTCACTTCTGACACTGACTATCTGGATACGGTGTCAAATGCCATGGGTTGAGGGCTTAGTCTGTAAGACTGGGCCCTCACCCCCAGATGTCACTTGCAAGCTTCAGGTTGTTTTACTGCCCAACCAGCTATGAACCAGGATTCCAATTACCCCATCCTGGGGTTCACTGAATTTCTCTGGAGAGTTCACAGAAACACACTTACTGGTTTATTACAAAGGCTCCAGATGAAGAGATGTGCAGGGTGAGATATAAGGGAAAGGGCCCCACTTCCACGTCCTCTTCAGGTATACCACCTTCCTGTACCTTCACACGCTCCCCTCTCTGAACCCTGTCCTTTTAGTTTTTTTATGAAGACTTCATTGTATGTCTAATGATAATATACTGGTTGGGCAAACCCAGCAAGGCCTGTCTGTTTAGATTCTTTTTGACCTCTCTGTGCAGCATTCCTTCCTTTAGGACATGGGGCAGGATCCTTCTGAAATGAGAATGTTATGATCTACTTCCAGACAAGGTAGGTCAGAGAATTTCTTCATACCATTAGGTGAAAGGCAGGGGGAAAGGGGAAGATGTGAGTCTCTATGACCTGCCTTAGGGAAAGGAAATTCTAGTTTCTATGACCTGCTCTGGGAAAGGAGTTAAGAGTCAGGAAGTGCGAATGAAAAACCAAAAAATACGTACCGTACCATCCCAGGGATCCTCAAAGTGCACTAATTACAGTCGAAGAGCCCTAAATTCTAGCCCCCCCCATTTCTCTGCAGCAATTCACACAGGATATGAGGAAGGACTGTGCAGGCAGCACATTCCCATGTTTTCCTCAGTACTCACAAAGCCTTCCATTACTGAGATAATTGAGAATGTTCTCTGGTTTATTTTATTAACTCTTTATTTTAAATCATTCAGTGAGGGGCTGGGGTTGTGGCTCAGCGGTAAAGCCCTCGCCTCGCACGTGTGAGACCCTGGGTTCAATCCTCAGCACTACATAAAAAAAATAAACAAGTGAAATAAAGGTGTTGTGTCCAACTACAACTAAAAAATAAATATTAAAAAAAAAATCATTCAGCGACTCGAGGAGGCTGAGGCTGGAGGATTGCAAGTTCAAAGCCAGCCTCAGCGACTTAGGTAGGCCTTAAGCAACTTAGCAAGACCCTGTCTCAAAAAATTAAAAAGGGCTGGGGGAGTGATACAGTGGAAGAGTGTTAAATCCCCATTGGTAGAGGGTTAAATTCCCGGTATCAAAAAAAAAAAAATCATTCTTAGAAGTCAATGAAAAAGGAAAAAGGGATTGTTTTATGGAACTTGTTTGGATCCTGATCAGAACAAACCAACTGTAAGAGATAATCACAGAAATTTCAGGTTTCAGTATGGACTAAGAATTGAATTAGGTGATATTGAATGCTGTTATCACTACCCGGGATATTGTTGTCCATGCATTTCTGTACCTATCTCTGCCTTTGAGATTAGACAAACCCAGTTTGTCTCATTAGAGACAAGTAGTGCATAGTGATTAAGATTGTAAATCCCACTTGATCATTTACTTAATCTCTGCCTGTTTTTTTTTCTTTTAAATCTATTAAGTGGAGGAAAGAGTGTAACCCATTTCATGGGCTTTATTTGAAGATTGCATTAATATTTGTAAGGAACCCAGAACAATGCTTGACACATAGTATATTTATAAGTATTTGTTCAGGAATCTTCCAAATACTGGGTCACAACTAAGGGAAAGTCTATGCATTAGAGAAATCCAAGGACACTAGCCCTACCAGATTTTGGTGGCCCTTTTGCCTAGCAACAGAAGGTGGCAACCAAGGCAGAGACTGTAGAAACACACAGAAAACAAAAGACAATGGGGGATAATGGCTTTGAGGCCAGACTGGGTTTAAATTCTGTGTCTACCATACATTGTGTGATTCTGGGCCAGTTGCTCACCCTCTCTAGGTTTCAGTTAATTCCTTGGTAAAATGAGGTTATAACTGCACCTACCACACAGGTTGCAGAGAACCAAGTCACTGCTCCTTCACAGCCTACTATTCCTAGTAGCTCTGGTATTTGACCCACTGAAGGCATCTGGTCAGCCAAGACCTTCCTGCTCTTCAGGCCTCAGTTTTCCCATCCTTCAATATGGGATTTTTTTTAAATGTGAATTTTGCCTAGTCTCTCAGCTCAGTCTGTAATTCCAGCGACTGGGGAGGCTGAAGCTGAAGGATCACAAGGTCAAAGCCAGCCTCTGCAATTTAGTAAGACCCTGCCTCAAAATAAAATTTTAAAAAGGACTGAGAGGTGATGTGACTCAGAGGTGGTGTGACTCAGAGGTAGAGTGCCCCACGGTTCAATCCCCCTGTCCCCACTTCTCTCTCTCTGTCCCGTACATACACGCACAAAGTTCATTTTGGCTTCCTTGTTTCGAGTTTAAGGGGGAAGAGAAAGGAATGTCTACATTTCTTGGACACCTACACAGAGGCCAAGGGGGCCTCTAGGCCCAAGGCGAAGCAGCCAGAAGCCTGATAGTAGGACTCAAATTCATCTGTGTCTGATTCCAAATTCACTCACCAAACTACTTTTTCTCGGAGCTTTTCAAAGCCGTGCTTCTTAGATAAAGGATCCCCAACAGTGATCCGGGTGTAGCTCAAGCTCCAGGGGAGACGCTCTCAAATCGCGCTACAAGCGCGATGCGCTTTCCACAATGCAGACAGAATTGCCACCCTCGGATCTCCCCGTCTGCCCCGAGCCTGGCTGCAGGATCCACGAGCCTCCCCAGCTGTGCCCCTCACCCAGCCCCAAGCCCACATGAGAGTGGGGACATCTGGCGTGGAGAGTGGGCGAGCCAACGTACCCCAAAGCTTGGCGTCTCTGCCTGACGCTCAGCAAAGGCTCCTATACGTCGTCCCTTCCAAGTTCCAGCCCACAGCCTGTTCCTTCTCTTCACCGGGAGAATCTGCAGGGGCTGATTTGGTCCTCAGAGTCCCACGACTATTAAGGGGCCCGCGGTGACACCAGGGACTGGGCTCCAAGAAGCATCGATGCGAGTCCGAGGCACCAAGGTTTTGGAGACACCTGGACACTCCAGTCGGAGCGAATCTGGAAACAAGACAGGAGTCCAAGGGAAAAAGGGAGGCGCCGTCTCAATGCGATGTTGGGGATGCGGGTGTCCTGGGGCTGCGACACCCACGGGACACAGGCCTCCCGTCCCGGCGGGGCAGCCCCCACCGTGGCCCAGCCCGGCGCCCCGCGCCCCGCTGTACCTGTGCGGCCGCGGCGGCCCGCTGCGCTGCTCCGCGCTGCCCGCCCGGGGCGCACACAATGAGGCACTTTCAGACGTGGCTGCGGTCCCGGGCCGGCCGGCAGGAGCCAGGGCGGGAGCGAAGGAAGGAGCCAGTTGGCCCCCAGCTCCTGCTACGCTCCCCAGCCGAGACCTTGGGGCCACGCCTCGGGGGAGGGGCGGTGGCCGAGGGCGGGCGCAGCTGGGTCGGGGGAAAGGGAGGGCACAGGTGGGCTCGAGGGACACCAGGGCCACATCGTCGGGACGAGGATGCCAAAGGGCGCTCGCAGGGTCACCTCTCAGCCCACTAATGGTTCAAAAAAGTTGTCGTCCCCTCAATCTCCAGAGGAGGGAGGCTCCCGGGAGGACAAAAGGCCCTTGTGAAGGAAATCGAATCTTAATCTTGCCACCCCCCATTCCCCCACCCCCGCCTTCTCCGCTCTCGGTGGCCTCCTCGCAGCGGAGTGACTTGGAATCCAAACTGCTCCCCAAGTTCTCAGCCTCAGCACAAAGCCAACACCCAGACACCTTGATGCCAGGGGTACCCTCGCAGGCTCCTTGACTTAGTAGCCCAAGCGGGAAGGCCAAGAGGCCAGGTGGCTTTCAGGAATTGGGCCCCGCAGTTCACCCCGCTTCCTGTCTCCTCCCTACCCTACTCTCGACCCCAGGCACAGGTTTGATAGCAGGTCCAGATAAATACAGGATACATTTCAACAAATAAAACATATCATCCCTACCCCCCCCCCTTACAAATAACAGGGCAGAGTCCAGGCGAAGGACAGAGCAATGCAAAGACTTGTAATCCCTGATCTGAAACAAGTCCCTGCTGAGTGTGAATTAGTACCAACCCTGGCTGTGGGTTGGCAAGATGAATTAAGGTCCTTAACCATGGTCATCAGCTTTTTGAATTAGTAATTCCTTTCTAGGACCTATCTTTTTAAAAAATATTTATTTTGTAGTTGGACGCAATACCTTTATTTTATTTATTTTTATATGGTGCTGAGGATGGAACCCAGGGCCCCACACATACTAGGGGAGCTCTCTACCGCTGAGCCACAACCCAGCACCCCACGCCGCCCTGCCCCGCCCCGCCCAGGACCTATCTTAAGGAACTAAACCAGCAACAAGTATTTATATAGAGAGGTTCATAGAAAGTGGGTTTTTTGGGGGGGATGTGGAGGAGTTGTGGGAAAAAATAGGAAAGAGTAGAAATATGTGTATCAGAATGCCAAATGCCAATCATGATAATTTAGGGATTCAGACAAGAGTTATTATTATTTTAAATTTAAGGTTTGTGTCATTTTTTTTTTTTTTTTTTTTTTTTAAGGTTTGTGTCATTTACAAATTTTCCTTAGTAGGCATTTAGAACTTATTTGGTCCAAAAGTTACAAAAATCTTTTTAATTGCATGAATAGAAAGAGGAGAAGAAGATGGAGGAGGGCAAATGGGAGAAAAGAGGGAGAAGGGAAAGCAAAGGGGAGAGAGAGCTTTACTAACTTTACATGACAGAACCTTGGTGGGTCATTAGGTCCTGGCGCCTGATTCCAGCAGAAACTGATCATTTGACAAAATTAGGAATCTTTGTCTTGCCTTGACCCCAAATACTGAGTAACAATCTCAAATCCTGATTTAGCTCTGGGTTGTAGCTCAGTTGATGAAATCCTACTTCTCACCTTTTCTTCCTCTTGCAACTCTGCAGTGTGGTTCAAGTTCAGAAGCTACCATCATATGATCTGAAAATAATTTGATATTCACCAGACACAGTTGTAATTTTCCATGCTGTGGTTTCCACAGGCCATGTGGATTCCACCAAAAACTCACATTTACTTGGGGTTGGACCAGAAGACTTTTGCCAGAGAACCAACAAAAGCTCCAAGGTCTCTGGGCAGAGTCTTGGCAGAGGAAGCCTGCCGGTGAGTAACGGAGAAGAGTGCGCAACTTCTGCACTCCCTATTCTTCCCCCTCCAAACCCGTTCCCTCTATAAAGCCACAGACAACCTTCCATTTTGAATATTTTAATTAGAAAGTTATAAAACATAATTAATTCTCCATATAAATCTCACATTAGAATAATTTAATAAAATGCAATGCTTATCTTCAGCCATCTTTCCATATCGCATTACCTATTTGAGATTTAAACCAGAAACCATTTTTCATTTATATCTCAAGGGAAAAATATGTAGGCATATAACTAGCTCTAAATATTTTAAAAGAAGTCAGAGAAACTAGTGTTCGGGAATTTTCCTGCCTGAATACTTCAACATAGCTGTTTCCAACAATCTCATTTTGGTCAGCCTGAAAGAAAAGATGCTTTGGAAATAAGAATTGAATCTCCAAAGTAAGTTGAGGCATACACAGAGGGGTGTTTGTTAGTGGACATGAAGCATGGGTCACAGGGGACTGTCCTTCCAGTGCTATGATGTGGTGGGGATCATAAAGCAGAAGACCTCAGACCAGACTGTATCCTTGCTCAGGGTGAGACTGGGGCTGAATGGCGTCTTCCGTGTACAGCAGAAGCCCACTCTCCCTGCCTGGAAGAGCTGGCAGCTTATCATGCAGCTGCTGGCCAGCCTGGACAGGACTCCCTGAGCTAGCATCCTATTCCTTCCCTTGCTTCTCCTCCTGTCCTCCCCAAAGCACCCCTCTGCTGGGCACCCAGTTCCTCAGTCAAGGGGAATGTGAGGAGCTGGGCTTCCTGCTAGCCCTCCAAATAAACCCTGCGGTTGTCAGGCAGTGGGAGCCAACACCAACAACAACTCCTCTGTCACCCACGTCCTTTCAGGAAAGGGGAGGGCTGTCAAGGAGAAGGAGTGGCAAGGGTCCAGGCTGTTGGGTGAGGGCCAGAGAGAAAGGACCTGTTGTTACAACCCTTGCGTCCCCCACTGCTGCTGGGGGGACTGAATGAAACAGCACTTCTGACTTCAGCCTGCCATTCCAGGGACACAGACAGAGGGCAAGAGGCAGGGCAAAGAGCCAGCCTCTGTAGCGCAGGGAGAGAGGGTGGTTCAGCTGAGCTGGTGACAGACGGCGTCTGTTAGGCTGAGGCAGGTGGACTGTCCCAGTGTCCTTAAGTCGCCCACCCTCTGCACAGGCTTTCGCTGCTCTTGTGCTGTGCCCTCCCCTTGCAGTTCTCCAGTTAAAGGCCTATGTTCTAGAAATCAAAGCTCTGAATGGGAACTGTAGATACCCAGGAGTAGCAAGTGCTAGGGATTAGCATATTTATCATGAAAGCCCTGAACAGAGTAAAGAGTGGCTTACAATAGGGGGAGGAAAGCACAGGGCTTCTCAGTTCAAAAGAGGAAAAGTCTTTCCTCCACCAGAGATGGGACTCTTTCCAAGATGTCAGAACTGTGATTTTCTCCTATGGGTAAGGCTAAAAACAAAAACAAAAATGAATGATAGCCTCGGGGAACCTTCTGACCTTCCCACAAACTAGTCCCTGACAATTTTGTTGGTACTTAAGAAAATATGGGATTTGTGTAGAGCAAGATTGGAAAGAACTGTCTTTTGTCTCTGAGGGGAAAAACTCTTATGTAAGCCTTCACGTGTCCACCGCACTGTTTTCAGAAATGTGGTAACACGGCAGTTCTCAGAAGACAACAGTGAGGTAGCCTCGGATCTGCTGAGTCTTCAGAAAGGTCTTCTTAGGATAAGTGCTCCTTATAGACTTCTCCGGGGGGCATTGCTGTTACAGGGATTGTAGTCACCACTTGATTCTGAAACACAAATATTTTGATTCTCTTGAACACCCAGAGGAAGATGAGCAAGATGCTGACATACTGGACCCAGGCAAACTTCACCATCTCCCAGAATCCTGGCTGGTAAGTACAGAGAGTTAAGGAATTGCAGATGACACGTAAATAAAAGTTGCACTAAAGTGCAGGTCAGACAGGAAATGACAAAAATGTTTCAAGTGCCCTTAAGATAAAAGGAGTAATAAAAAATTATTAAGACATGAATATGGATGATCCTGACCTAGGAGAATTGCTCAGAAAGAAATATGAACAGGAAATGAGCTTTTTTCCCTGTATGAGCAGTAGCAGACACGGCACAGTTACTTGAGTGGGGCTACAGGGCTGCAGCAACCCTCAATGTAAGGTGTCCCACATCTGTTCCTACTTGGGCAACCTGAGAATCCTTCCTTTCTTTGTGGACACTGAGCCCCCGCTGGCTCTCTAATAAAAAGGATATGAAATGACTTCCACAGGGTATCGGATGACAGCATTAATCACAAATGGAGCTTCCGCGGCCCTGCCCACCAGCCAGATGGGGTTGGCGTCATTCAGGACGGTGGTAACTGCAACACAATTATCAATCATTAATTTAGGATGGCCCTTTGGCAAAAAAGAAAAAAATATGTATGGGGAGGCTATAAATATTCTTTGATTATTGGGATACATATATATACACACATATATGCACATACACATGTATTTTATACTGGAGATTGAACTCAAGAGTTACTTTTCACTTCAAAATTCAGAAATAAAAGAAGAAAGAAACTTGCCTGTGCAAAGTAACTCAGGTATTATTCAAGTACTTGTTAAAAACCTGGAAGCAGAGTCCTACTATTGCTGCATAGAATACTATATTGCTGCAGGAATACTATATTGCTAGTAAAAATAAGGCCAAGTAGAACTTTGTATCAGTGTGGCAATATATTTATACTACATAGTTAAATAAATATGAAGAATCTGAATCCCAAAGTGTTTCTACACTATAATAGCTATATGAAAAAGAAGAAAAAGTTGACTTGCAGGTCAATAGTTTTTAATTTTTTAAAAAAGTTCTTCTATCACTAGAATAATGGTATTATTGTATTGTATGAAATTAGGAATAAATATTGGAGATGGCTGGGTGTGGGGTCCATGCTGGCTGGTTGACCAACAACACTTTTGATGCCTTTAGAGAAAACCCTAGGCCACCGATCAGCCCAGCCCAGCATGCTGAGTGGAGCACCAGGATGGCCTGAGTGCCTCAACCCTGTAAGGACTACACATGTTCTGCCTGCCACCAGCACGGCAAGGCTCTGTTCCTGCAGGGGGCTGCTCATGGCGGGGTGACTCGCTCCTGTCCTCTACTTCTATCTGAAAAATATGGACATCAAAATGTCTTTGGTTTCTTTTATTGGTGTGGCAAGAGGAACATCTCAATTAGACTTCATACACATTAAATAAGGAAACCCATCAAGCCAGTGGTCACTAACTTGCTGGACCACAAGAGGGGCACTGAGGTGGGAAGAGGCCAAGCTCTGAAAGTGATGAGCGGTAGCTGAATGGCCTACACCCCAGACTTACCATTCCTTTCCTGGTAGGCAGCAACAATGTGGGTTAGGTCATAGTCGTAGGCAAAAGGGCTGGTCCCATTGATCACAGACACCTGGGACACAGCAGGAGGACCTGGAGTGAGCACTTGAGACCTCGCTCTCTTCCCTCTACCCTCCCCACCCCAGAGACCGCCTTCTTGTTCTTGTTGACCTATGCCAGTATCAATAATATTTTCTTCAAGGAGGAATAAGCTCTCTTGCAATAATTTTAAGTTCATTTACTTTTCCAGTAATTCCTTTTGTGGGATTGGAAATGGTGCCAATGTCCACCTTTCACAGGTTTTAAAGCTATTTATACAACATTCCTCTATTTCAATGGGAGAAATAATTTCATTAAATTGTTTTTTTTTTTTGGGGGGGGGAGGGTACCAGGGATTTAACCCAGAGGGGTCTTTACCACTGAGCCATATCCCCAGGCCTTTTTTTATTGTTTTGTTTTTGAGACAGGATCTTGCTAAATTGCTGAGGCTGGACTTGAACTTTCGATCCTCCTGTCTCACTCTTCCCAGTTGCTGGAATGTGGAATTACAGGTGTACACCACCATGCTGGGCAATTCCTTCAATTTCTTTCCTCTCTTTCCCCTCTCCTCTCCTCTCCTTTCCATACTAGGGATTGAACCCAGGGGTACTTTACCACTGAGCCACATCCCCAGCCCTTTTTAAAATTTTATTTAGAGACAGGGTCTTGCTAAATTGCTTAGGGCCTAAATTTCTGAGGCTGGCTTTGAACTCATGATCCTCCTGCTTTAGCCTCCTGAGCCGCTGGGATAATTGCATGTGCCACTTCGTTCAGCAATTCCTTTAATTTTTAAAAATAGACCATATCAGCAATTTAGCAATGCCCTAAGCAACTTAGTAAGATCATGTCTCAAAAAATAAAAAGTGGTAAAGTACCTCTGGGTTCAATCCCCAGTACCAAAAACCAAACAAATGGACAAACCACATATTCAATACCTTTGTCTTTTTTTTCTCCTGATTACTCTCTTTATTTTATTTTTTTTTAAATATTTATTTTTTAGTCTTCGGTGGACACAACATCTTTGTTTGTATGTGGTGCTGAGGATCGAACCCGGGCCGCACGCATGCCAGGCGAGCCCGCCACCGCTTGAGCCACATCCCCAGCCCCTTACTCTCTTAACTTTAAAAAAACAAACAAACAAACAAAAAAAAAAACTCTTAAATGTAGAAGTGGAAATAGAAAATGCAAAGGTAAGCATATAATCCTTTATAGCAGGAAGTGACTTCCCGCCCTCTATTATCACAGTTCTGTTGATGTAATCTGATCTTCTAAGTTCCATAGTATGTTTACAGAGTATAGTCCTCTCCCTTTGTTACTTAGGCTGACTATAGTTAAAGCCACCATAAATCCCAGTTCATTGGGAACAGTTGTGGTATATGGCTGTAATCACTGATAACATCCCTCTTTCATTTAAAAACAGCTGAACTGGGCTGGGGATGTGGCTCAAGCGGTAGCGCGCTCGCCTGGCATGCCTGCGGCCCGGGTTCGATCCTCAGCACCACGTACAAACAAAGATGTTGTGTCTGCCGAAAAACTAAAAATAAATAAATAAATTTTCTCTCTCTTTAAAAAAAAAATAAAAAATAAATAAAAACAGCTGAACTCAATTTACATGGTTCCCCTGTGATAAAGATAGGAATAAATGATTATCATGAGGCATGAGGTATGGACTTAGCTTCTGGCTCTGTTACTTGGAAGCTATGAGATTTGGGGGAAATTAATTAATGCCTATAAGCCCCAGTTTCCTCATGTGCAAAATAAGAGTTCATTCATTCATTAAATACCTCTGAACTGACAATGTGCCAGGCACTGTTTAAGCGCTAGGGTGATGGTATACAAGATATCAGCACTTTTAACACTGAGGCAGAAAACAAACACACCAGAAACATATCTTTAGAATGTTAGATGGCAGTAGGAAAAGTCATTCTGCCTGAAGAATGCTGGAGGAAGGAGGTCCAGGGAGAGACTGTGCTCAGGGACCTGTGTGGATTGGTCCAGTAGGCTCCCTGCATAACTAGCAGAGGGAATGGCAAGTGCAAAAGCCCTGAGGTAGAAGCTGCTTCTTAGATTCAAAGAATAGCAAAGGCCAGCAGGGCTAGAACAGAGGAAGGGGGCAGTGACAGGACAAGTGGCTGGAAAGCTGGGAAATGACAAGTATAAGCAACCAAACTCAGGAGGTTGCTGTGATGATTAAATAAAGCCGGGCATGGTGGAGCACGCCTGTAATCCCAGTGGATCAGGAGACTAAGGTAGGAGGATTGCAAGTTTGAGGCCAGCCTCAGCAACTTGGTGAGGCCCTAAGCAACTTAACTAGACCCTGTCTCAAACCAAAAAATAAAAAAGGCTGGGAATGCAGCTCAGTGGTTAAGTGCCCTTGGGTTCATTCCCCGGTACCAACACCCCCCCCCCAAAAAAAAAAAAAAAACCATTAAATAAGATGTTGTATGCAACCTTTTTCTCTTTCTTTTTCTTTTGAGACATTGTTGCCCAGGCCTTGCTCCAATTCCTGGGCTCAAATGATCCTCTTGCCTCAGCCTCTTGAGAGCTGGAAATAAAGGTGCAGGCCACCACACCTGACTATAAACTTCTTAACTCAGGCCTGGCAGATGTTACATATTCAACAAATGGTGGCTAGTATTATTTTTATATGTTTTACATGAAAAGCTTACATGATCATATGGAATACACTGTGTGTGCGTACCTGAAAGCAATAAGCAATTTAGTTCTTCAATAAAGACAGACATTTCCCCCCTCTCTCTTCCTGGATATAAATCAAGGTAAACCTCCATATTCTGTAAGAATTTATGGCAAGAATTCCTCAGAAGTCCTCATCTGTACCACCCACAGGGAAATGCTATTTCCAACTTTCATTTCTCTTCAAAGAATGTGATAAACATACAGGAACAAAGAAGGTGGGTGACAAGAAGCATTCTTACATTATATCGGACATCTAGGCCACTGTAGCCTAGCGGCTGCTTCTGCTGCAACCTTAGGTCTCCATTTACATACAACTGGGACCCAGGAACAGCAAAGGAAGACTGGAGAAATGCCATGCTCTGCATCACAAAGGTTGACATCCTCTGAAATCATAAGAAGGAGAGATGATATTAATTGCCATTGTATCTGAAGGGTTCTGGGTTGATAGTCACTGTCTATGGCTTAAGCTGAGGGTCTTCATGTATCTGGGTTAGCCACATGAGAGGCCCTGTTCCCAGAACCCTCTGAGCTATTAATAATTAATGTATATTCATATGACCCCAATGAAAAACATGCAATTTGCTTAAGTCAAATTCCCTATAATGCTTCTGGAAAGCAGGAGGATTCCATTATTTTAAAAGACAAAAAGGAGAGGATGGGCCTCCTTAAGGACCAACTCACGTGCAATTGGTAGGAGAAGGTCAAGATGAGCTGCACACCAAGGACGTGCTCTGTGGGCTGCAGAGGAAGCTCCAGCTTAAGATGTAACATGTCCATTTTCCCATCCTGGTTCCTGTCTTCTTCTCTAGACTAGGAAACCCAGAGAGGGTCAGTGGCCTGGTCCTTAACAAGAATCTGAAGAATCCACATCACTTCTGTACCTACACAATGACCCGCTGTTCTGCTGTACACAGGTAATTACCTCCCTCAAGGAGAGAGAGAGAAGAATAGGTGTGAATGGATCTTTACTGGGAAAGACACAACGTATACAGCCCTTGACATTCACCCCTGTGCCTTTCCAGGGTTCACAGGCTGAATGGAATAACAATAAACATCTGGATAGCATCATCTCTTTTCAGTTATCTAATTTTAACTTGCTTATTGGTATTTTTCGGTATTTGGTATTCTTAGTATTTTCTCTTTTCTTTTTCCTTCTGGTATCGGGGATTGAATCCCGGGGCACTTTACCACTGAGCCACATCTCCAGCCCCTTCTTATTTTTTATTTTGGAACAAGGTCTTGCTAAATTGCTTAGGGTCTCACTAAGTTGCTGAGGCTGGCCTCAAATTTGTGGTCCTCCTGCCTCAGCCTCAGAGTTGCTGGGATTATAGGCATGTACCACTGTGCCTGGCTTCTTTTCTTTTTTAAAATAAATAAGTCTGAATTTATATAGAAAATTTAAACAGCTCATCAGAATTGTTTGCTATAGCTTTAGAAGTCCTCCCTCCCTTTTTTTCTAAAGTGCTGGGGGTAGAACCCACAGTCTCATGTGTACCCCTTCTCCCACTGAGGTGTACTCCCAGTCCTAAGCCAGATTTTAAAAATAGAAACAAAGAAAGAAACCCAGCACCCCCATTCTAATTACTATGTTCCTCCAAAAAATTCAACAGAAAATCACTAAGCCCTGAATATACAATCTCCAACCACAATTGTCTTTGCTTCAGGGTCCTGGTGAAGGCCCATCCATCTCAGGACTTTTAAGCCTTGTGTATCTTTTAGTACCAATCAATAAAATAAAAAAAGGAAGCTAAGTGAAATCAGCCAGGCCCTAAAACCACAAATGTTTTCTATTATGGACATGAAACTAAAGAAAATAGATACAAATCTGAGGGCAAGAGAGAAATCACAGCTCATAAATCATATGTAGGCAATATTCAATGTATTAAAATATCAATACCCAGTCTTGCCATGCAGGCTTGCCCCATAGTGACCCTACAATAACCAGCAGAAGAGGACAATCACTGAAATGTAATCACTACTGACTCTGGTCCTCAGCACGACTCTGGATCTTGGTGCTATAAGCGGTCCCCTTCCCACCACGTTCCCAGATGCTACCAGGGAATGTCAACATTGCCATATGCTCCTCCCTCTTTTGGTTCACTTTGCTCCCTACTATTACCATTTTGTGAGGAAGACTTTTTTTTTTTTTTTTTTAAATGTCTTTCAGGCTAGTAAGGCTGTTTGAGATAAAGATGTCAATTTTCAGAAACTTTCAATTATTTCTTTCTTTCCAGACAATAATGTCCATGTCCTTGACCTTATGATAGACAAACCTACCCTCCTTCTTCCACTGGATTCTACTGTCTGGCCTGTCGCATCAGCTTCACCAGGGTAGTGGGGAGATCTGTGCTACCAGGACTGATGATCGAGTACCCGAGGCAATTCTGACTTAGTAATTAAGAGTGGGCTGGAAAGAGGCTGTCTGTGTTCCTGTCCGTTTCCTTCAGCTGATATCTGGGAAGATGATGAGGGATTGACTTTCTGTAAAGAACCCTCACCTTCAGGATCTTAGGACTGGACATGAAAACAAGGAACTGTCTTCTCCATTTGAATCAATTTGAGAGAAGGCGGTGGCCAGACGCCAACACAGTGTGGGAGGAAGAGAAACTCATCTCATTTGGTCTTTTTAATAAATGTCAAGCCTAGATATCAGGCCCTCCAGGCAGAGCAAGTATTATCCCCATTGTATAAATGAGAAATTTATACAATTTAAGCTGGGGGCACAGGTACAGCTAGTAATGATAAAGACAGGATTTGAGATAAGGTCTTTGACATCAAATCTGGATCCCTAACTAGGACTATGTTCAGATCCACCCCCCCTAAAAAAAAAATTCAAAGAGAACTGTTGACTAGGACAAACCTTTTTGCAAAAAGGTTACATAGATATTTGTGTGCACATTTTCACTCCAAGTTCACAGAGGACAAAGACATGGCAGAGTACCATAATTAGTGTCTGCTTTTAAAACTGGCTCATTAATCTGTCAAGTACTGTTTTACAGAGATTGAACCCAAAGGCACGACATTCCCAGCCCTTTGTGGTTTTTATTTATTTTGAGCCAAGGTCTCCCTAAGTTGCTTAAGCCTCCCTAAATTGGTGAGGCTGGCTTTGAACTTACAATCCTCCTGTCTCAGCCTCCTGAGTCATTGGGATTACAGGTCTGTGCCACCAAATTCAGTTGTCAAGTACTTTCTGAAGCCCTACAACGGACCAGGCACTATTTCAGATGACTGGGAATAAAATTACAACAAAATAGACAAAGTTTTCATCCCAATGGAGCCAAGATTCCCAGCAGGAACGATAGAAAACAGTTAAAAATAAACAAACATGTTAACAATACCGGGTAGCGTTAAGTACCCAAAGAAAAATAAAACAAGCTAAAATTAGAGGATGATGAGTGAAGGCAGACATTAACAAATTTTTACAGAAAATTCTATAACCTGATCTGTTGGTGACTTGAATGAAGAGGAATGACAAGGCACAGGAACGTCTAGGGGAAGGGTGATTCAGGCTAAGGAAGGCCCTGTGCTCTAAGTGTGGGGCCGGGGTAGTGGCTGGGAGCTGGGCAGCAAGAGTAAAGGGGAGGGCAGCAGAAGAGGAGGGTGAGTGAATGCTGCATCTCCCACAGATGACCTCTTACCCGGCTGGACTCTCACCCTCTGGGCTGGCAAGAGGGGCTACCTGTCTATGCTACTGCTCGAACCATTGATGAAATCAATTCTAGTGCAGGTACCTCCAGAGTATTGAGGAAGGACCCACCAGAGGAACCCGTAAGGTGGAGGAGAGCTTTCTGTTTGCTTCTTGTCCCGGTTTGGGTCACCCCAGCAGTGGTTCTTCATTCTGGCAGGTGGCAACTGGTTGCAGCTTGTTCCCACTCTTAGAACCAGGCACATCGTGGCTCCTACTGGCAGAGACTAAATGAGAGCCAGCAGGCAAAGGACAATGTGGTTTTTCAGCATCTCAGCATGAGCATCAGGGAGCAGAGCATCAGGGAGCAGAGCGTGCACCGGAGGTGGCCTTGGGGTTACAGGTACCTCATAACGGGGCACACCCAGGGCAAATGGCTAGCTGTGACCACACCCAGGGCACACTATCTAGCTGTGACCGTTGTTCCCAGGACGTCCTGACTTGCAACATTTTTTTTTTTCATCAGAGTTTCTACAGAATCTGATAGTTTGTTGGAATTTTGTTTGGTTCCTACTTCATTTTTACCTTTCATTCTGAGTCAGGTTCTTTTACTAAGTGCTGATTTCATAATTTATATCAGGGTCCATTTCACCATAGACTTGTCATTACTGGGTTCTCATTTTTTTCTTTTTATGCTGAAAATACAGATGGATACTGATATTTAGGTCTCTAGCAAAGTAGGACTGCTACTTCATGATTCCCATATCCATCAAATCCTTACCTCCTGTATTTGGATGAATCTAAAATACCATCAATTACAAACTGCATCATTACTTTACATAGCAGGAAAAAAGGGGAAATATTTTCAATTAAATGATGGCATAATGTTTTCTAATCTCTGGAGTATTTTATACTTATTGAAGGAATTTTTAGATTTATATCAGATATCACATTTATATCAGATATTTATATCAAATTTCACATTTATTCACATGGAAATATAAGCAAAATAAATTGATCCAGAGATTCCTAAAACTTCTTCATAGTCTCATTCTTTTGAATCACATTTTAACTCATTCAATCATATCCATACTTTTCCATGAAATCTTGTCTTCGTACCATCAAGCATGCTGGTGATACAGCATTTAAAGAAATAATTCATAAAGAGAACTTAAATCCATTGGTCTGTGTCCTTAAGCAGGCTTTGAAATCATGCAGCATTATCCTATTTTTAAAATGCCCCCTGAGCCTTCCCTTATCCAATCTCCGTCTTTAGGGGTTTAGAATAATGTTTCACTACTGACTTGGGGAAGGTGTTTTTTGTTTGTTTGTTTTTTCATGTTGCTGATTCCCCTTCTGCAAGTTTTGACAATGGCACTTTTGATGTTTGCATGTGGGTAGACAACCGGGCCAGGCCTGCCTTATGGTTAACAGCTAATGTCAGCTACCCTCACAGGAAGACACACTCCAATTTCAGAGATGAGGAAAAGTCGGGGCTTAGTCGCGTGGTTCTCCCAGCTCTTGCTCCAGCCCAGGATCCTCCTCTCACCTTCAGCTCCCCATCCCCCAGCTCCACACAGGCCTTCAAGAGCCACGCCCGGCTCAATAGGGTTCACTCTGTTTATTTCTCTCTCTTTTGAAAAACAACAAAAGCTAGACGTTCAGAGGATTAAAAACATATGGATTTTAGAGATGCTGTCCAAGGTGATCTGACTAAAGCAGACTGCGACTTCTGAGGCATCTTCCAAAATTAGCAACAGCAAAGCTGTCTCCCAGCATTTTGGTCAAGCCCTTGACCTAAAAACCATCATTTCTTGGCTTCTTGGGCAGACAGTTTCCAGACAGGTTGAAGCCAGTCTGGCTTTATGTTCAGCCTTGGAAAATAAAAAAAATAATTTTGTTGTAATAGGATTAAGAGTATAAGATTTGATGGGCTGGGGTTGTGGCTCAGTGGCAGAGCACTTGCCTCACATGTGTGAGGCACTGGGTTCAATTCTCAGCACCGCATATATATAAATAAGTAAAAGGTCCATCAACAACTAAAAAAAAATATTTTAAAAAAAGCATAAGATTTTAATCTGAAATATGAAGTTTCCATCCAGACTCTGGTCACCTGAAAGCTTGAGCAAATGACATCACTTCTCTGAGTATATTTCTTCATCTGTAAAATGCAGGTATGACCTCTATCTCACAGGGTTACTGTGAGGATAAACAGAGACTAGCTCTTTAACAATGAAGAAACACAATGGAATATTACTCAGCATTAAAAGAGAATAAAATTATGGCATTTGCAGGTAAATGGGTGGAGTTGGAGAATAAGTGAAGTAAGCCAATCCCCAAAAACTAAAGACTGAATATTTTCTCTGATAGTGGATGCTGACCTATGATGGGGGCGGGGCAGGGGGGCATGGGAAGAATGGAAGAACTTTGGATTGGGCAAAGGGGAGGGTGGGGAGGGGTTATAGGGGTAGGAGAGATAGTGGAATGAGAATGGACATCATTACCCTAGGTACATGTATGACTGTACGAATGGTGCATCTCTATATCGTGTACAACCAGAAAATTGAAACGTTGCACTCATTTGTGTACAATGAATTGAAATCTATTCTGCTGTCATGTACAACTAAGTAGAACAAATTTAATTTTTTTTAAATGAAGAATACACAAAAAAATGTTATAGTTAACACTAAGTGATTACTATGGGCCAAGTACTATTAAAGAACTTTGTTATGTAACGATTAAATGCTTATCACCTGCCTAAGGCATAGTAAACCAATAATAATTTTTACTGCTATGGCTTATAAGCGTATTACTAAGCTATTGCTTGTATTTACGAATATTGAAGACATGATTCACATGCCATAAAAATCGGCCTTTTACAAAAACATTTAGTTGAATGCAATGCCACATTAATTCTCAGAGACTCCAGAGGCTTAGGAAGGAAGATTGCAAGTTCAAGGCCAACCTTAGCAACTTAGTGTTCCCTCCCCTTCCCCACAAAAAAATTGCTGGGGACTTAGCTCAGTGGTAAAGCACTCCTGGGTTCAATTTCTGATCACCAAAAATAAAATTTTAAAATAAAATAAAAAATAAAAACGTAACTCCACACATGTGCAGGCACACAGGCACACACCACTCCCAGGCTCTTCCCCCATGATGCCCTGCTCTGCCTTGGGACTTTGCCAGTAGGAGAAAGACTGGAGGTGACGATGTCATAAATTATAGACCCGGCCCATCCCAGAATGAAGGGCATAGGGAGACTAAGAAACTAAGAAAAAAGGAGTTATGGTCTTGTGTTTTACTAACAGTGTAAAATTATCCAGTCTGGGGATAGTAGTCCTGAGTTCAATCCCTACCACTGAAAACAAACAAGCAAACAAACAAAAGCAGTATTAAAGAGAATTAATGGTCTGGGCACCATAAAAATAAGAGGTGGTCTTGGCTTCTTAGATTTAAAATTGGAACCTGCACAGCAGAGGCAGGGGGAGACCATGGGTGGTGCCTTCCAGGGAGAAATTTCTGGTTATAGAGATAAGAGCTAACTAGCAGTTCAACTGGGGAGCCAACCAGTTGTGATGAATGAGCAAGTAAAAAGAACGAGTGAATGAAACCTAATGCTTATCCTTGTTTTAATGATTATTGTAAGTTTTCACGATTATTTCTTAGACTTAAGTATCTAGAAGTATAAGAGAGAAATACACAAATATAAAGAAAAAAATCTACCAACAATTCAAGGCACAAAATGCTATCTTTTTTTTTTTTTAATTTCAAACAAAATAACTAGCAAGTTATTTTGTTTGGAATTAAAAAAAAAAAATGTTTGGATTGAGTCCAGGCTTCGGGCCTGCTAGGCAGGTACTCTTCCACTGAACCACAACTCCTCCCCCCCAAAAATAAAGTTTTTCACTTTTGGAAAGGAGATACATAAAAAGTTGAACACAAAAAATATGAATACTGAGTACATGATGAAAAGTCAATCTACAGCTGGGCATGGTGGCACATGCCTGTAATCCCAGCGGCTCTGGAGGCTGAGGCAGCCTCAGCAAAAGTGAGGTGCTAAGCAACTCAGTGAGACCCTGTCTCTAAATAAAATACAAAATAGGTGGGGATGTGGCTCAGTGCCCCTGGGTTCAATCCCCGGTCCTGTGCCCACCTTTCCTGCCTCACACCCCCAAAAGTCAATCTACTTCCCTGCTGGCCCCCCATCTAGTCATTCTTCCTCAGAGACAGTATATTCTCAAATAAGAATAAAAATGAGCAACATGTAATCATTAGTGAGAAGCAAATGAAAGATACGTGTTTCCTGCTCTAATCCCTGCCCACCTCCTAGGTGGGGATTGAATCCAAGGCCTTCAGAGTACATCTGCTTTGCCACTGAAATAAATCCACGGCCCTCCAGTTCTACTTTTAAATTCACTGTAAAAGACCACATCACGCCAGGCACAGTGGCGCATGCTTATAATTCCAGTGATTTGGGAGGCTGAGGCATGAGGATTGAAAGTTCAAAGCCAGCCTCAGCAATTTAGGGAGATGATAGACAACTTAGCAAGACCCTTGCTCAAAATAAAAAATACAAAGGGCTGGGGATGTAACTCAGTGGTAAAGCATCCCTGAGTTAAATCTCAGTACTAAAAACAACAACAACAAACCTGATCATTTAAAGAATCAAAGAATTCAATGATGTTACAAAAACATATAGCTTCCACAGCAAAAAAATTTTTTAATCTCATTTACCTGATTAGTGTTTTTAGAAATGTATCCCTAGGTCTTTAAATAACATTTGCATTAGCCTTGTCAGTTTCTCAGTTTTCGGAATTCTCTATTGGCCTCCCAAAGGAAAGATGATTTAGCTCCCCTCCCCTTCCACCAGCCCTGTCTGCACACTTCCCCACAATCAAGTTAAACCCATGTTTTGGTCAGCAAATATTCAGTGTTCACATAACTAAGACTATGTAAATCCTATTCAAAACCCTGATTACTTTTTCTTCATCACATTTTATTTCCCTGCAGTTCATAATTACTTTGTTTGCTTAGATTTCTATGTACTTATGCAATTTCAACAAACACCTTCTATTTCAATTCCTCACAACTTACAATTTCAAAGTTTAAAATTTAAGCTGGTCACAGTGGATGTGCACCTGTTGGCCCAGCTACTGGGCAGGCTGAGGCAGGAGGATCACTTGAGCCCAGGAGTTCAGGACCACCCTGGGTAGGATAGAGAGACCCTATCTCAGGGAAGGAAAAAAAGAAAAGGTATAAGATTTAGTCAAAACCTTGGGGCTGGAGTTGTAGTCCATTGGTAGAGTGCTTGCCTAGCATGTGTGAAACATTGGGTTTGATACTCAGCACCCATAAAAATAAATAAAGATTTTGTGTCCATATACAACTAAAAATATTTTTTTAAAAAAAGATTCAGTTAAAATCTTGTTCATGGAAATAGTGTCCTTACCAATTAAAAAGCTGGAGCAAATCAATATGGGCCAACAGGGAACTGGATAAATTTATTAGTTTTTCCATATCATGAAATACTTTGCAGACCTAAAAAGGGTAGGTTTATTAAAAGTATTCATACATGCACCAGACTGTCTTTAATTTGTCATTATATGAGAAATTCTAATATTTCACAATGAACATATACACTTTTGTAATCAGAAAAAATAAGAATAAATAGGCTGATGGAAAAAAGTGAATTTTTTTTTCCCTCACTCGAACAAGTTTGCCTTGAAGGCCAAGCATCTCAGAGATGTCCGAAGAGATCTTTTCATACTTCTAAAGGAAAATGTTTTCAGAGAGTGAATGAAAAGGGAGGGGACTGTAAAGAAAGCATTCGCTTATGCTAAACCAAGAGCCAAATTGTAAACAGTAAAATCAACTTGATGCCCTAAGGTTGCAGGATGGAGCAGCATCTATCTAAAGGAAAAAGTCCAGGCGGGCGTGGCTTGGCCAGAGCACGCTGGGGAAGTTGCTTAGCCAATCAGCGCCTGGACTTCCCCGGTCCAGTCGGCCTGAAAAAGCCTCCCTTCGCGTGCCTAGAGTTAGGATGCACCAACGCATCGACACGAGGGAGTTAGCAGAACAGCTATCGGTCTCAGGGTCCGGAACGGGCTTCCACAAGCACCCTCTCATCGGGCCATTAACTCGAAAGTGACAGGGAACAGGGTTTTGGCTGGACCTAGGAACTGCCAGCAAGGCTGGCTTTCCGGGAGCCGTGATGTCTGGGAGAAGCAGAATGACAAAACAGACCCACTCTCTAGGAAATTAAACACGGCAGGCCAAAGAGCCCGAACAGCCTCCGTGGGCCAAAGTCCTTAAGAGCCAAGCTGCTGTGCCCGGGGTCGAGGCCGTTCGTCCCGGTCCATCCCCTCTCCACCCAGTCCCGGGAGGGTTAGGACCAGGTGGGAACCACACACCGAAACGAGCGGGACGCGCAGGTGATCCCCCTGCAGCCGGTTGAAGGCGGGGAACGTGCTCCAGGCCAGGAACCCGCCGTGCTCCGGCCCCAGCAGGGCCACGAGGAGCACCTGGTGCTGGAAGCGCACGGTCGGCTGCTCCTCGTAGCTGCTCCGCTTCAGCCAAAACCCTGAATTAAAGAGGGCGGTGAGGAGATTAGGAGGGCCGGCCGGGGCCAGCAGCGAACCGCGAGCTGTGCCGCGCACCGGCCCGGACAGTCTCACCGTGGCTCCGGTAGGCCACCAGCAGCGGCGGGATGTAGGTGAGGGCGGCGGCCAGCAGCAGGAACAACGCGGCTTTGGAGCAGAGCCCCGCGCGGTAGCCGCGCTCGGCGGGGTGAGAGAAGAGCTCGTACAGAGCCATGAGCAGCGCGTGCAGTCCCGCCGCTGGCCGGGCGCTCTTCGCGATTCCAGAGGGATGACTAAGTTTGGCTTCTCCTGGTTGCCTTCGCTTTGGTCTCCACGGCAACCAGCAGCGCAGGGAAAGGAACCAATAGCAAGGAAGCGGGGCCTTAGCAGGGAGGAGCTAATGGGGGCGGTGCCCGCTGGAGACCATAGTCTCCTTAAAATCAGAGTCCAGTAGAATGTCTCCCTTCACCCAAGTCGTAGGCATCTTCTTTGTTAACGTTTATGTAAAACAAGATGTTCTTAAAAGTTTATTTAAATGCTTCATTACAGGTCGTCAGTTAAGCCCCAGTGTGGTTCGTACTGAAGTCTAACAATGCACATTAATCCGGCTGCAGCCCTGAACAAGTTTCTGAGCTAAGACCAAAGCCTCTGTTTCCCAATTTTCTGTTCCTTCCACTAAGTCCAAAGAAGGTTAGGACACAAATCCCCTGGCTTTTCGAGAGATAGAGGGTAGTCACTACATAGCTATTTCTAGTATACTTTGTTACTTTGCACTGGGTACAAGTACGGCTGCTGGTTTTAGGAAAGCTATGGTCCTGCTCAAAGATAACTTTGGCTTATCATTTAATTGAATGCTTCCGACACCTAACCAAATTTTCAAACATGGCCGATTATCTTTATGATCCTTAGCCAAGTTCTCATCGCAACGTCCTGAGGTATCAAATTGCTGTGTCAAGAGATAGTGTGAGGTTATGCTTTGAAGTAGAATCCAGTAGTGGATGCCTCTATTTTGAAGGCATATCTAGAAGTGGAGGTTAAGACCTGCACATTTTGGAAAACTATCCCAGGACCCTTACTGTAATCCAAGATGTCAATTAATGCTGTTAGCAATAAAATGCTTTTGACATCTTTTGGTCCAGTACTAATCTTTCTTGCTTTAAATCTTTACTTAGGTGGCAACATAGTTTAAAACACAGAAATTGTGCCAGGCGTGGTGGTGGTGCACGTCTGTAATCCCAGCTGCTCAGGAGGTTGAGGCAGAAAGATTCCAAGTTCAAAGCCAGCCTCAGCAATTTAGTGAGACCCTAAGCAATTCAGCAAAACCCTGTCTCTAAATAAAATATTAAAAAGGGCTGGAGATGTGACTCAGTGGTTAAATGCTGTTGAGTTTAATCCCTGGTGCCAAAAAACAACAACAACAAAAATGTGTATGGGCTGGAGTTGTAGCTCAGTGGTAGAGTGCCTGCGTAGCATGTGTGAGGCTATGAGGCACTGGGTTTGATTCTCAGCACTGCATATAAATAAATAAAATTTAAAAATATTTTTGACAGCTAAAAAATAGTTTTTAAAAACCAAACTGTTAGCTTAATTCTGTAGTATGATTCTGACATTATATTGTGTCTATACTTTTTTGTTTGTTTGTTTGGGGACAGTGGGGTTTGAACCCAGGCCCTCAAGCATGCAAAACAAGTGATACACTACTAAGCTACATTCCTAGCCTGTATCAGTTCTTTAAGGATGACTTTCATTTATTTAAATAAGCACTAAAAGAAGGGTCCTTTGGAAAAGATGGATCTAATATACTGTAGATAATTTACTGCTGAGATACAGGGAAGTGACTGATAAGAAAAGAGAAACAGAGGTGTATAAAGTGCCTCAGCTCTCCTGAGATGCCATGAACTTTTCAGAAATAATTAGTAATAATGGATGCTAACAGATACTCTGCTTCCATGATTTGAAGAAGCTAGTCTTTGTGGTTTTATTTAAAATTTTTTTTTCCAGTACTGGGGATTGAACCTAGGGGTGTCTACCACTGAGCTACATTTCCAGGCCTCTTTATTTTTATTATTATTATCATCTTGTGACAGGGAGGGTCTCACTAAGTTTCCAAGGCTGGCCTTTAACTTGTGATCCTCCAGCTTCAGCCTTTCAAGCTGTTGAGATTACAAGCATGCTCCATTGTGCTCAGCTGCTCTAAATTCAATTCTTTGAGAGTATTAGATTTAGAAAATGCTAAAGATCTGTGTATACTGCCATTTTTTCATATATTCATGATGGAGAACTGACTTCTCATTTTCCATTTCCATAATGCTCTTATGTTTCATACAGTTATCTCCAAAGGAGCTCATTCTCATAAAACTACACATTTTAGTCCTATTCCTCTCCTTTAAAGAAGCTCTTATTCAGTCTTTCTAGTCAACTTAGAACTCCTGAATATTTGCTTCAAGGCTTCCAAACATTTATTTTACCTTGGTATTTATATCACTTTCCATTTTCTTCCAACCCCAGGCTTCGTTTTGTTTTTATTTTTGTCTTTTGTTTTTGGCATTGAGGATTTTTTTTTTAAAAGAGAGAGTGAGAGAGAGAGAGAGAGGGAGAGAGAGAATTGTTTAATATTTATTTTTTAGTTATTGGCAGACACAACATCTTTGTTTGTATGTGGTGCTGAGGATCGAACCCGGGTCGCACTCATGCCAGGCGAGCACACTATCGCTTGAGCCACATCCCCAGCCCTGGCATTGAGGATTGAGCCCAGAGGTGCTTTACCACTATATACATACATCCCCAGTCCTTTTTATTTTATTTTGAGCATGTATCTCACTAAATTGCTGAGGCTGACCTCAAACTTGCAATCCTCCTGCCTCAGTCTCCTGATTTGCTGGGATTACAGGTGTGTGTGCCACCACACCTAGTCCCAGCCTTTTTTTTTTTTTTTAATTTTTAGTTGTCAATGGACTTTTATTTTATTTATTTATATGTGGGGCTGAGAATCGAACCCAGTGCCTCGCACATGATAGGCAGGCACTCTGCCACTGAGACACAGATCCAGCCCCCCAGCCTTTGTTTTTAACTGGAAAGTTTACCTTTGAAAAATATATCCTTCTCTTTGCATCAGAAGATTCACATTCTGTGTGAAGTCCTCTCTTGCTTAGCCCCACCTGGTTTTGTGCTGGCCTTTTTGTCCTAGTTATCCTTCAGAATCTATGTTCAAATGCCTCTCCAATATTTGAAACTCATCCTGTGAGTTTTTACAGGTCTGTTAATGTGTCATTGCATGTGTCTATTATCCTATTTCTCCTTCTGATTCAGCTCCTCAACTAACCACCTCCTCTAGGAATGCATCCATGGATCTTAGAACAGTCAACAGCTAAATACAATGACCCAATAGATAAAGAAGATGATGGATGCATATTAAGGCAGATCATACAAGCCAATTAGAATGGCGAACTGAAAAAAGATATCAAAAAAGCACATGAGGAAAGTACATCATTGGGACATTAGGAGATAAGCCTATGAGTTGGTGATCTTTTCCCTGAGAAGTATACTTAGTGTTTACACATTGCCTGCTTGGACTAGGGCACAATGACCAGCTGTGTAAAGGGAAGCAAGGGGCCTTGAATCCAATCCTTTTTCTTTATTGGGGGGGGAGGCAGTACTGGGGCACTTTACCACTGAGCTACATCCCAGTCCTTTTTAATTTTTGAGACAAGGTGAGACAGGTTAAGTAGCCCTCGCTTCAATTCCCAGCTACACACACACACACACACACACACACACGTTATATATACACATGTGTATATGTGTGTGTGTATACCCATATGTGTATCTCTCGAATGCAACTGTTTTCCATCACCTCCACAGACACCATCGTTGTCTAATCCAGTGTTATTTTCCACCTGGATTATTACAATCTACTCTTAATGATTTCCCTGCTTCTACCCTCATTTCCCTACCGTCTCTAACTATTTACACAGAAACTAGTCTGATTTTTTTTAAAATACTTTTTTAGTTGTCAATGGACTTTATTTATTTACATGCAGTGCTGAGAATTGAACCCAGTGCCTCATACAGGCTAGGCAAGGGTCTACCATTGAGCCACAACCCCAGCCCTTTTTTGTCATTTTTGGTGCCAGGGATTGAACCCACAGCCTTGCACATGCTAAACATGCATTCTACCAGTGAGCTTAATTCTATGCATCTTAGCCCTGATTGTTTTAAAAGGTCCCAATGTGTTTGTTACAATTCTGTTTAAACCCCTTTACTCACTTCTCATCTCATTCTAGTAAAATCCAAAGTTCTTTGCATGGAATTCATAGTGCCACACACATTGGTATCTTTGATCTCATCTCCTGACACACTTGTTATTCAGCTCCAGGCATGGGAGTTCTTCACATTCCTGGTGTATTCCAACTACTTTATCTAATTAGCATTCTATCCCACCATCACTCTTTAGCAACCTACCAGGCTCTATTTTTCTAAATAGCACCTATCATTACCTGACATTTATTTTTTGTCTTATCCCATTAGAATACAAATCCCATGACAGCAAGGGTGTTGTGTGTTTTGCTCACTGTTTTTCCCCAGCCTCTGGAACAGTGTACTTGTATGCAACAATACCATTTCAAAGCATGAAATTCAAAGAATTTTTCGCTCCATTAAACAAAAATCTATTCTGGTTGCTCCAAATCACAATCTTAAAATAACAAAAATACTTTTAGAATGAAGCTAGATTCCACAGCACCCATCAGGAATTTCAGCTACAGGGAATGATGAATTACAGTGCTCAGACATACAGGCCTGAGAGATGCATCAGAATCACAAGCACGTGACAGAGGTCATGTGTGTAATTATGTGAATATTCTTGTTACATGTTCACTAGTTCATAAACAGATGATGACCCAGACCAGACTTCCTTGATGACTCTGCTTGGTAAAAAGGTATTACATCACTGAATGGAGAACCTCAAGGATATGCCTAGGCAGGTGACACACATGCTGAGTCCAGATGTGATTGGTAAGTCACTCCCACTGCCAGACAGGCAACTTGTCTCATGACCAGTTCTCAGAGGAATTCTCCAAGTCTAAGGATGAACATTCTTTGCCTCTGTCAGATAAGGATAAGGGCTTTCTGTGATCAGTGATGTTACACCACTCAAATGCATATTTGTCAATGAATTCCACTACTGTGTATAAAGCACCAATACAAATTAATTAAAAATGTGTATTTGTTATATCTTTCCTAGATGTTTATTCAAATTCTTACTCATGAATTAAAGAAAGAAATGGGATATGTTTAAATCCAGGGCAACC